AGAAGAAATGCATTTTACCTTAATACACACATCTGTAACAGTATCCGAAATCGGAAGTCATCAGTTGCAAGTTTGTTGATAATAGAAATTAAAAATTATTGAGGAATTTTTCTTCAAATGTTTGGCGTGTTCTGTTCCTGAAAGATTTACTAATATTCTGGAGATTTTTTTCAAGTTCTTCGGCCTTTTCCTTAGGGAAATTTTGTTTCTTATTTGCTGCTAAAAAATGGCGTCTGATTCAATCAATGATTTTGATGGAACTAAATGAAAACGTGATAAATTAATGTCTGATATTTACAGGCTCCCGCTAGACGGCGTACTCGAGCGTTGCGATCGCGAATTGTTTTTCTTTAAATATTTTTGTATCCCTAATTTAAACTTATTTTCCAGTACTGCTACTATTAGCGAGAGTATTAAATTATGGTTGTGAACTCATCAAGTTTGTTTGAACAATACAATGCTAGAAGAATATAAATATTATTTTAAAAAATGATTACTTCGAAAAATCACTTCCGTTCACCAAGAGATGTAATATTTGGGTAAAGTAATATTTGAGAGTAATATTTAGACGTGGGAAGTAGAAGTACAAGAGTAAGTAAACAGAATTACTTTTAGTAGATATATGTTAAGTGAATAATTTTAATTTTAATAGAAAAATTGTTTTCTGCCAAGAAAAGACAATTATTGCGAAGCAATATTGCAAAGCAATAATCGGTGTTGGTGAGCGGCAGCTTAGCCCCTTAATATATATGTGTATGTATGTTTTCACCTCGATTTAGGTCAGAAATTACTTTTTTAAGCCAATATGTAACTTGCGACACCAGAGTTTTGCTACAGAGTTTACTCTTATTCTTAGATTTGATTTGAAGAGTTTTCTGGCCAAGGTTGGCAAGCGGATAATGTTTTGAACCGGATTTCAGGATAATCGTAAAATGTTTAAGATTGGCTGAGTTACTTAATTTCTGTTTGTTACTGATTTGAAAAGACGATTTCGAGTAAAAATCGCTCGAAGTTAAATTTTTTTTAGAATGGATGATAAAGCTAATAAATATGAATAAGTTATGCTCATAGTGGTCAAGAGAATATAGAAACTTGTATGGTAATCTGGCACAGATTTCTAGATGAGATTTTAACCTTTTTTCCTTGTCAGAGAGTAAAGTCAAAACTTCGGTTGTCAAAAATGCCGATTGTAGATAATATAGTAAATAATTCTGCTCATAGCAATCTGAAAAGGAATAAAAATACGTGTTGTCAGCCATTACAGAACTCCAGGTACAATTTGCCTAGTTTGAAAGTTGGAAATTGGTTGAAATTTGATTAATGATTAATTCTCAATTGCGATAATAAAAACAGATACAGAATAACGATAGCAACAATGATAGTAACTAAGATAATGTAAAAATATATTCTGCTTGTAGTTGTCTGGAAATGAACAGAATTATTTATATTGTCATCCAGCACAGATTTCCAGATAAGATTTAAGTGCTCCAAGTTAACCGGAAAAGGCTCAGAAATTAAATTGACCAAAAATTTAGCAATTGTCATCAAATAATCAAGTGGTTTGAATCCAAAATAGCAGAATTACTATTTATTTAATTAAGGATGCTATTTATTGCTTTCCTGAAGCATAAAAGCATATTTAATACCAAGCAGACAAATAAATTTCTATCAGAAATTTATTTGTCTGTTTGGAACAGCAGAAATCTAATCTTTTCTTTCTCCTAGGTTCAATCCAACCTTTTTTTTTTGTCTTCAAATAAAATTGTGGAGTTTCGTTATGAATTTTGTGGCTATCTCATCTTTAACTTTAGGAGAGATGGCAACTTTTCATTAATACGTATTGACGCATCAAGGATAGTAGAATTAAAGTAAAAGAAATAAATCGTATTTTAGTAAATTAGTCTTCACTACCACGCTTAATATCTCCCAATAAATAATTCTAGTTAAGACATCTTTAGGTTCAGTAATGGTTTTCATATAGTTTTGTTTCATAATTCGTAATTTTTAAAGCTAATAAAAAAATCCTTACCTTTTTAATATATTGAAGCCACTATTTTAAATTTTATTTTAAAATAAAATGTAAAAGTTGTTTCTTTTTTCTTCAAACCTATCTTTATTGCAACTGCTTACTATCTGCTTCTTAATTGGCATTCTCAGTTCAGATTTTATCTTTTTTAAATGGTGTGAATTGACACCCACCTTTGATGACTTTTCCTTCTAAATAGCTAGTGCATTTAACTAAAGACCTTTATTGCTACGCGATTTGTTATGAACTTTTGTAGAATGTGTTTTAATGTTACAAACATGCCTCAAATCTAGATACTTCTTTCTCCAATGTTCCCTTGACTCACTCCTGTGCTATAGCGTTCTAAATTCTTCTTCGAATAGTTTTCTGTTCGTAGCTAGGGCTAATTTGCTTACCTTTTTCTTCAGTGCCACCTCGCCAACTCATCTCACTTTATCTCCCTTACCATAGTTTCCATCGCCACCTTCAATCACCACGGCTGAACATTCTCTCAAGCTTTTTTGAGTTGTCTCTGGTATGTTTTGTAAGATTCCACTCTCATATTCAAGTACGCACTATAGGTCAGTAATAAAAAGTCATTAGTATTTTTTCAATGGATTTGAATAATTTTTAATGATTTTATGGTGGATATTTTTTTGACATGCATGAAAGTAAAAATATGAAAGAAAAGTATCAGTAAAAGGGGAAACTTATGTAGAAAACTATTCTACATTTTTTGAGTTGTCGTTTCTAATGCCACTTGCCAATAACAGCTAGCCTGCTTGGTGAAACCAAGCGAATTTAAGGCAGAGGGTGCATTTCTTGTTTTTCAGTTGCGCCATCTATGGCCAAAAATACGATTTAAGCCACAAACACGTCACTGCTCGTTTATAGGGTGGACTCATTCATATTTCCATTTATTCATTCACAAATCGTAATTTTGATCTGAACCAGAGAACGATCAAGCTCCTATTCAATACCCCAAGAGGTATTAATTTGGCATGGGAACATGAAAGATTTTGTGACCCGGCAGATTTAACATGCACCAGTCACCATTTACTATACGGAGAGTTTTCGGCCGGTGGGGATCGAACTCACGACCTCTTGGACATGGGCTCCAACACCCTACCGATCAGGCCTACCTGCTTCACAGTTTTAAGTAAAACTAGTTTCCCGAAAGCTTTATAGATTTTAGTGAAATTTTAAAACACATGCACTTCCTGATCACCAGCTATCTTTAAGATATACTTTTTTAAATTTGCTACATTTATTTCTTTAGCCAAGTTATTTCCCTTCTTTTTTCTATTTTCTTGTGCTAAAATGAATCAGAACTCGGATATAATTATTTACGCAGCTTAACCAAACATTAAAGACAAAAAATGCACTCGTTGCTTGTGATAACAAAAAAATATTGAATTGAAAAAAAAAATTAATATCGAGAATTTTTATTGCGATGTTGTAAGAATTTTTTTCCGAGATTGTTATTTCCACATCTGATAAAATTCACCCAAGCAAATTAATTACAAATCTTTTCATTATATTTGAGTCAGCTTGACTACAGTGTTTTTTATCGATGATTAATTTGCTTCATATAACTTTGAACTATTTTCTTGTTATAAAAAATAAGCATCTAATTTCCCGGATTTCTGTTATTGGATCTTTAATAGAAAAATTAATAAAACTTCTTATCTGTGTAGTTGAATCATTATCTAAATTAAAATATTAATCAAACGCAAGCGTATCTTACTAAAATATGGAAAAAAATAAACCGCAGGTTCATGTTTCATTAAAA